CGCCAGCCGCTGGCAGGTCTGCCCGTGCTCCCGGCGCAGCTCCCGCAGCTCCTCCTCCAGCCTCCCGCGCTCTCCGCCCTCTCCCGGGGCCTCTCCCGGCGCCTGGTCCCGGCCCTGCTGCCTCTCGGCCTCCAGCTCAGCGATCCTGGCCAGGCTGCCCTCCAGGCTCTCGGCCGCCCGTCTCTTCTCATCCTCCAGGATGCCCTCGGTGTTCCGCAGGGATTCCTCCAGGAAGAGCAGCCTCTCCTGCAGCCGCGTGTTCTCCCGGGCCAGCTTCTCCCTCTCGGCTCCCTTCTGCTGACTGTCCCTCAGCCTGCCCTCCAGCTCCCGCAGCTGGGCCCTCAGCCCCTCCACCGCTCCCTGGGAGCCCAGCTCCAGGATTTTGGCTTCCAACTCTCCAATCTTGCGGCTCAGCTCAGCCTTTTCCTCTGCTGAGGCGGCCTGGCTGGCATCCCGGGCCTGTGCCAGGGCCTGCAGCTGCCCGCTCAGAGCCACGTTGGCCTCTCGCAGGTGCTGGAGCTGCTGCAGAGCAGAATCTCTCTCCTGGCAGATCTTCTCGTGCTGGGCTTCCAGGGCCACCAACTTCCCGGCCTCCCCTTCAGCTCCCTGGGCCTCTCTGGCCTCCCGGGCTCGCAGATCCTGCTCCAGCTGCTCCCTGACCTGCTGGCTCTCGGCGAGGGAGCTCTGGAGGCTGGAGACCAGGCTGCCCAGCTGCTGCTTCTCCTCCTGGAAGCGCTGGTGCTGGGATTGCAGAGCCTCTTCCCGCTGCCTCTTCTCCTCCTCCAGCTGCTGGATGGTGGCCTGGAGCTCAGCCCCGCCAGGCTGGACACCTCCTGCTTCAGCTCCTCCAGCTGCCAGAGGGAAGAGGGGAAAAAGGGGGAAAACCAATCCCCCCCCCCAGGTCTTTCAACCTTCACCCAGACCCACGTGCTGCCCCCCAGCACCCCACGTTCCCCCTGGCCTCGTGCTGCCATCCCCCCACAGGCAGCCCCACGCTCTGGGAGCAGCATTCCCAAACCCAGCCCATGGGAGTGCTCAGCCCCACAACCCCCACCCAGCAGTGGGGAGCAGCCAGCTCTGCCCCACATGGCTCTGCCCATCCAGGAGTTTTCCAGCCCGGAGCTCCCTGCTTCTCTGCAGCCCCGGCCGTACCTTCAGGACATCCCCCAGGACTTCTCCCTTCTCCTGGGCACTGCCATCCCCCAGCCTGGCCAGCTGGTCCTCCAGCAGGGAAACCTTCCCTTGGAGAATCTCAATCTTCTCTTCCGAGCATTTCTGGGAACAGAGATGTGGGACTGAGCACAGCACAAGGCCTGTCCTGGACACTGAGCTCCCATCCCAACCTCCTCCCCTCAGCCTTTCCTGGGCACTGAGCTCCCATCCCAACCTCCTCCCCTCAGCCTTTCCTGGACACTGAGCTCCCATCCCAACCTTCTCCCCTCAGCCTTTCCTGGGCACTGAGCTCCCATCCCAACCTCCTCCCCTCAGCCTTTCCTGGGCACTGAGCTCCCATCCCAACCTCCTCCCCTCAGCCTTTCCTGGACACTGAGCTCCCATCCCAACCTTCTCCCCTCAGCCTTTCCTGGGCACTGAGCTCCCATCCCAACCTCCTCCCCTCAGCCTTTCCTGGGCACTGAGCTCCCATCCCAACCTCCTCCCCTCAGCCTTTCCTGGACACTGAGCTCCCATCCCAACCTCCTCCCCTCAGCTTTTCCTGGGCACTGAGCTCCCATCCCAACCTTCTCCCCTGGCTCCAGGACAGCAGCCTGGCCCACCACGGGGATCCTTTCCCAGGAGCAGGGAAAGGCTCCTTCAATCAGCCTCTCCCTGCTGATAGGGATGAGCTGGATGCCCCCAGGGCACGAGCTGGCTCCAGGAGGTGATCCCTCACCTTCTCCTGCAGGGCCGTGCTCAGCTCACTCTCCAGCTGCCCCTGCTTCTCCTGGGCCTGGGCCAGGGCAGAGTTGTGCTCCTCGGAGAGCTCGTTCAGGGCTTCCTGCAGCTGCACCAGGTGGCTGGCGATCTCCCGCAGCTGCCGAGAGGGAAAAACCCCCATCCCAAAGGAGGGGTTAGAGAGACCCCAGAGCTCCCCTCAGTTCCCTTCTCCCAAGCGCCACAGCATCCCAGCTCCTGGCAACCCCACCCAGCCCCCATTCCTCCCCACCCCCATTACAATTCCCCTTGGACCAGGATCTGGAGCCCCACGACCAGCTCGGTCGCTGGGTGAACGTCACTGAGCCACGAGCAGCCCGTGGCCCCCAAACCCTGTGTCCCATCACAGAGCTGTGAGGACAAGGAGAGGACCTGGGGTACCTTGAAGGAAAGGTCCCCGTTCTCCTCGGAGAGCTGGTTGATTTTTCGGTCCATTTGGCCTTTTTCAGTCTTCAGGTCCTGGCACTGCCTGAGGGCCTCGTGCAGACGCACCATCAGGCTGCGGGAGAGGAGGGGGTTAAGGCAGGGACCAGGAGCCCAAGGCAGGAGAAGCTGCAGGATATTCCCGAAGGGAACTAAGGAAAGGGAGGGATTTCCATGCTGGGGTGAGAAACTCCCAGAAATTCAACCCAAAACTCAGACCTGACAGGTTGCAAAGAGGAGATTCTGCTTTGAGGCCAAGGGCTCCGATGCCGGGACAGGGCTCCAGCCTCCCCCTTCCAGAGTGTAAAAAGGAAGGAAAACCCCCCCGAAGGAGGCCCAGAACTTTGCTTCCCCAGCAGCCCCAGGGCTGGGCATTCCCACAGGATTACCTCTCGTTCTTCTCCCGCAGCTCCTCCAGTTCCTTGGGCTCCAGCTGCTCTGCTGTTTGCTTCTCGTGGAGCAGAACCAGGCGGTCGATGCGCTGCTGCATCATGGTGATCTGAGCCTCTGGGGGGGGCAGGGAGAGGGTGACCACCTGCTGGTGGCCCTGAACGCCCCCCCAAGAGTCCCATGGAGGACACCTGCCCTTCTCCTGCTGCACAGGAACCATGGGAAGCAGGGCAGGGGAGAGCCAGGCTGCTGGAGCTGCTGATCTGCTCCACTCATGGCTGTTGTTGCCCAGGATAGTGGAGGGAACAGGAGAGGGAAGAAGGAACCTGGTGTCTCCACGTGTGCCTGGGGAAACCCCCAGTGTGGAGAAGGTTTCAGGCCATGGAATCATGAAATCCCAGACTGGATTGGGTTGGAAGAGACATTAAGCACCACCCAGTGCCACCCCTGCATGGGCAGGGACACCTCCCAGCAGCCCAGGCTGCTCCAAGCCCCATCCAACCTGCCCTTCAACACCGGAAACCCTTCCCCCTGCTCCCATCCCTCCCTGCCCTTGTCCCAAGCCCCTCCCCAGCTTTCCTGGAGCCCCTTCAGGCCCTGGAAGCTGCTCTCAGCTCTCCCTGGAGCCTTCTCTTCTCCAGGCTGGACACCCCCAGCTCCCTCAGCTGCTCCTCACAAGTTCTCCAGCCCCTTCTCCTCCTGCTCCAGCCCCTTCCCCAGCTCCAGGGCCCTTCCCTGGACACGCTCCAGCCCCTCCATGTCCTTCTTGTCCTGAGGGGCCCAGCCCTGCCCCCAGGACTCCAGGGGCCCCCTCCCCAGTGCCCAGCACAGGGGCACCATCCCTGCCCTGCCCCTGCTGCCCACCCTGGGGTGACACCAGCCAGGATGCTGGTGGCCTCCACCTGGGCACTCTCTGGCTCAGACCCTCAACCCGTGGATCCAGCCTGTCTGTAATGAAGCCACAGAAAATGGCCAAGGTCTCAGCCCTTGTCCCCCTCCCCATGTCCCCCTGCTGACCCACCTTTCTCAGAGACCAGCTTGCGGTTCTCAGCCAGCTCCACCTCCAGCTCATCCCTGTTCTCCCTCTCCACTGCCAGTTGCTTCTTCAGGCGCCGGAGCTGGAACTGGGGGGTCTGCATGACATCCCCCATGGGGGAGGAGGGGGGCCCAGCAAACAAGCTGCAGGAGGGGACACCCCTGCTCCCCCCAGCCAGGTCTCCTCACCCCACAGCGATAATTCTGACACCTGGTCACGTTCTCCTCTTCTTCCTGGCACCCCCAGCAGCCTCCCAGGGCCTGGCACCCCCATCCAGACCCACCCCCATCCCCCTCCCAGAGCCACCCCAGGGCAGCAGGGACCCACGAGGTGCTCTGGGCAGTGTCTGTGCTCATGAAGGCTGAGATGAGCTGGGCTCCAAGGAGCTGCTTACAGCCCAGGCTCAGCCCTGCCAGCCCAGCCCTTGGGGCAGCACAGGACCAGGGTGGGAAGGGGAGATCTGGGGTGGGGGGTCAACACACAGCCTGGCTCCAGCTCCCGGGAGCCACCCGGTCTGTTCCCCCATCCCCTCACTCCCTTCCCGGGCTGGGGACCTACTTGTTGGCTCCGGAGAAGGAGGAGGAGGAGGAGGAGGCGATTCTCTGCAGCTCCAGGAAACGCACCTCCCGCCTGGGCTGCAGGGGGAGCAGCGGGGAATGTTCCTCGGAGCTGCTGCCCGAGGAAGGCGGAGCTGGAAGTCACAAGGGAGAAAGAAGCAGGTCGTGATTTTTTTCAGCCCCACCTCTTTTCATACCCAGAAAAGGGTTGAAAAGCAGCTGAAATCCCTTCACGGGAACCAGAAATTCCATCCAGAACGGATCAGCTCAGCCAAGAAAAACATAAACCTGCCTTAAATCTGCCCTGCTGGCTGCAGGGAGCTGCTCCCCCAGGGAAGCTGTGGGCACCCCCCTGGGAGCCTGGCAGCTTCCAGGCAGCTCAGCTCTTAAAAAGCTCCCAGGGGAGTGATTCCATAGGGATAAACCCCCGGGTGTCCGAGGGGATGTGGATGGTGTGGCTGCTTCTAGAGCTTGGCAGCACAAACAGGGGAAAATACCCCGATTTTTAATGCACTTGAAAAGGATCATCCGTGTTCATGGGGTGGGAATGGTCCCACACTGCTGCTCTCCACAGGGATGTGGGACATTTCTGTCCCATTCCACAGTGGCAGCTGGACACCAGGACACCAACCAAAACCAGTCTGACCAGGGAACAGCAGCAGCCAGGAGCAGGGCCTGGAGCTCACCCCTCCTCTGCAGGAACAGCTCCAGGTTCTCATCCAGGCTCTCCTCGTTATCCAGGACAAACTTGAGGATCGACGCCAGCTCGACCTGTGTTGGAGAAGCCTTTTCTTGCACCTGCTCTGTCTTTTGGGGACCCGAATGTGATGGTGGGTCTCAGAGCACCCCCCAAAAGGCAGCTCAGCACCCCCAGGGGTTACCTGGGTCTGGTAATCGAACTCGTTCCAGTCCCCGGGGCTCCTGCAGCTCATGGAGGTGTGATAGAGGAGCAATACAGCAACCTGGAACGGGGTGGGACAGGGTCACCCACCCCAGGATGGCACATGGTGACAGCCAGGAACAGTCTGCCCTGTGGTCACCCTGCTCATGGACTCCCAGACTGGTTTGGGTGGGAAGGGACCTTAAGGATCATTTAGCCCCACCCCTGCATGGGCAGGGACACCTCCCAGCAGCCCAGGCTGCTCCAAGCCCCATCCAACCTGCCCTTCAACACCCCCAGGGATGGGGCAGCCACAGCTTCCCTGGGCAACCTGGGCCAGGCTCTCCCCACCCTCACAGCCCAGAATTTCTCCCTCCCATCTCAGCTCCAGCTCCCTCTGCCAGCTGGAAACCCTTCCCCCTGCTCCCATCCCTCCCTGCCCTTGTCCCAAGCCCCTCCCCAGCTTTCCTGGAGCCCCTTCAGGCACTGGAAGCTGCTCTCAGCTCTCCCTGGAGCCTTCTCTTCTCCAGGCTCAACACCCCAACTCTCCCAGCCTGGCTCCAGAGCTGCTCCAGCCCTCCCAGCATCTCCAGGGCCTCCTCTGGCCTCTCTCCAACAGCTCCGTGTCCTTCCTGTGCTGGGGACCCCAGAGCTGTTCCCAGCCCTGCAGGGGGGTCTCAGCAGAGCAGAGCAGAGGGGACAATCCCCTCCCTGGCCCTGCTGCTCACGCTGCTGGTGACACAGCCCAGGACACGGGTGCCTTTGATGGGTCACCTTGAGCTTCTCACCACCCAACAACCCAAGTCCTTCTCTTTAGGGCTTCTCCCCATCCATCCCCCAGGAGTTGTGCTGGGATTGCCCCGATTACCTTGGCCAGCTCCAGCTCCTCCCCCTCCAGCAGCTGCTGTGCTGAGACCAGGTTTTCTGCAGCTGATTTGTGCTTCCAGTGCTCTGGAATGGGAGGCAGGATTGACATGGGAGCCCCACACACACTGCCCACCCCAAGGTCACAGGGACCTTGATGTGTTCCCACGGAGAGGGGGCACAGGGTGGGCTGGAATATGGAGCTGAGCCCTCAGCCTGGTCACTCCCATGGGCATTTTTCCCCTCTTCCCTGGAAATTTAACCCCCATTCCCAGCTTCCCCACCTTGCCCTAGGGATCTGTTCACACCTTTAGCTCCTCCAGCACCAGGACAAGCTGAGTCCCACCTGTGGAGGGTGGGATGGGGGAGGAGGGGGAGGTGGAACACAGAGCTTCCCTTTCCAAGAGAGACCAAAACCAAGTGGCAGACCCTTCCCATTTCCCCTCCCAGGGACATTTCTGCTTGGATAGAGGTTTCCCAGTGGGATCTGAGCAGCTGGAGGCCAGACCCCAAAGCAGGGTCACCCCCACCCTGCTCCTCCCCCCCTTTGCACCAAGCCTGGGCTCCCGCAGGCACTTCCATTGGGAAATTTTCCTTCCCATTCACTGGCGCCTGGTCAGGACACCTTGGGAAGCTGCTCAGGGGAGGGGGAAGCCCCCAGACCAGCCCCTCACAGGGGTGGGGGCACCAGGGGGGGGGCTCTTACTCTGCAGGAAGCCATGGATGAAGCGGATCCTCTCCGGCAGCGGCTGCTCCAGCACAGCCTCCCCCTCCTCACTCCTGTGGCTGCAAGAGCACAGGGATCAGGTCAAGCTTTTCCCAAGGGATTAAACCAACTGGGGGTGGGAGGGGGTTGTTTTTAGGGCGTTTGTCTCGTTTCCCTTGCCCAGGGGGGGCTGCCACCCACCGTGCAGGGGAGCAGGCCCCGGTTATTCCCGAGGATTCCCTCATCCCCACGGATTTTCCCCACCAGCTCTCCCAGCTAATCCCAGCATGGGAGATTATCCAGCTCCAACTAAATATATCCCGGGTGCAGGTGGCTCCTTCCTCCCTGCCCAGCTGCTCCCTGGCTCCTGCCAGAGGTTAATTATAGCCCGGAGCTCCCGCTGGAAGGGTTTGAATCCAGCCTCCTCCAACCTCCTCCCACCTTCCCAGCTCGCCTCCCTGGCTCGTTAACCACACTCCAGCTCCCGTGCTCATTAAGGCTTCCAGGCTTTAATTGCCTTTGCTGAGTGAGGAATTCCTGCCCGGCCACCTCGGGATGGAGCCACGAGCTCCGTCCCGTCCCGCCCCGCGCTGGGAAGGGCCCCGGTATCCCTGGGAAATGCTCCGTGGGGTGGGAGCTGACAAGTCTTTCACAGACTCAGAATCCTGAGGCTACAGCTCTGGAAAACTTCCCAGGTTGTTTCCTCACCCCACTTTTGGGAATAAAGCCCTGGGAACCACCCCCCAATGCCATGTTCAGCTCCGCTCCGGCACCAGGAACGAGCCCGGATGTCGCGACAAACGCTCCGACCAAAGTCCCTCCTGAGGTTTCTCCTGGAGCCTGAGCCACGGGAACAGCATCTCCCGAGGGAGAACTCCCAGGGGAGAGGCCTGGAAGGCTCCTGGGGCCACAGGCAGGGGGTTCAGGAGAGGAGGAGCCACAGGGTGGAGGCACCAGCCCAGGGATGGAGGAGCTGGAGACCCGGGAGCAGCTCTGGCAGAGGGAGGAATTATCCCAACCCCTCCCCCAGCAGCTGGAGGAGGGTCCACGTGTGTGTCCCCCCCCCAACTCACATCTTATTGATGATCCTGATGAAGAGGTGACAGTCCTGGAGCTGGGACAGGTCATCGAGGGGCTGGGCACAGACCTTGGTGCTGTTCACCTGGAAACAGGGAGAGGGCCCGAGGGCAGCTCCAGGTCACGGCCCCAGGGCTGCCTGGGAACCACCCCCAGGAGGGTCTTTACCAGGAGGAGCAACTCCAGTACGTCCCAGTCACCAACTGGGAGACTGGAGCAGGGCCCCAGGGATGAGAGGGGTCCCTAAACTAGGCACATCCTTCCCAAAAATCCTGGGATCTGCTCCCTGGAGGGACAGGGACACCTGCCCGGGTGTGGGAGCAGAGCTGGCCCTTCCAGACCCACCATCCCTGGGGATCCAAGCTCTGCCTTCCCACATGGATCAGGCTGAGCCAAACCAAACAGCCCCTGCTGCTCTAATCCCAGATTCCCTGCTCCATCCAGGCTCAGCTCTGATCCCCAGGGAAGTTCTCCACAGCTGGCCCAAGCCATTCCAGCATTTCTGGTTCTCCCCCAGGAATGCTGAGCTGAGCTTCTGCTCCAGAAACTGGGACCAGCAGGGACTGAGCTGCCCCAGTCACAGCCTCCCAGCTCTGACCAGCTCCAGCATCGTGTCCTGGGGGATCCAGGAGGATCCAGGAGGATCCAGGAGGACCCAGGACCCACATCCCAGCTCCAGCAGAGGAGAAGGAAGCTTTACCCAAGCCAGGAGAGCTGCAGCTCTGGTGCTGTGCAGGGGCATCTTGGCCAGGCTGCCAGGTCACTGCCCGGGCCTGGGGAGAGAGCAAAGGAACAAACAGAGTCATTAGAGCCCAAGGTGCTAATTACACTCATCAAGGGTTGGATGGCCAGGGAAGGAGGATCGACCCTCTGAGGGGAGCAGCAAACCCCTCCTGCAGCCCCCTGGGATTTACCAGCCTCCCTGGGATTCGTCCTCCCAGGATTTACCCCCCAGC